TACAAATCTGTAAGCCTAAGGTCAAATAAAAATTGCATTAATAAATCCCAAGTGTAAAATTATGTTATTTTATAAATTTTCTTAAAATTTTAGGTGGGAATAGGTATTCAAATTTTGGTTGAACTAACTCGATAGACATGTACAACTAGTAAAAAGAAAATGTTACTAATGTCTATCAAACTTGCATATCTGTTAATAAAAAAAATCGCCTTGGCGTTAATTTTATTAATGAGTTATCCGTTTGTCATGGCACTAATGGCGTCAAAAAGACAGGCAGATAAGATATATTTTTGGTTTTTATTATTTTCTTTTGTGACACTTTTGCATATCCACTGGTTGTAAATTCAACTTTCAAGATACACAAGAAATTTTACAGATCAATACAATGTGAAGCGATTTTCCATAAATTTAATGTGGCAACAATGTCGGGATTGATAACGTCGGTTTACTGTGCTATTTATACTGAAACGGGACTGAGAAAGCTGTTGAACATAGTGGGTCTGGTAACGTTGGATGAATATGGTGTTAACATTTTTCAAGGAATAATTTTACCCCTCTACTTTTTTTTAAGTTTGTTATTGCAAAAACCATTAAATTTATTATATTATACTCGGAAAAACAGCCGGGCTTGGTAACGTCTGTTTAATATGTTGGGCTTGGTAACGACGGTTGGATACGTATATATATATATATATATATCTCCGGTTCAGTTTGAGGGCTTTTTTTATATATATTGTTCACTTTGAGGACTGAGACACCAGTTTGGGGACGTCCCCAAACACACCCGATTTAGTGGATATATTTAACGCTGAGTTTAAGGACCTTCCCAGCGGTATAGCGTCTGTTATGAGAACTAACCAAACCATTGCTTCAAACCAATTCGTACTAAAATATCGACAAAGTTTTAATGGTTGCAGATATTTGGAACAAAAATTAAGAAAAAAAACTTTGAAATTAGTCGGGATGGTGAAGATAAATGGAAGTGGAGCACACTGTGTCCCCAAACACTACATTACATAGATTTAAACACTGCGGAATGCAATTGAATTAGCACTTTAAAAATCAAAGTTTGATAAATAATAGAGATGTACCGACTGTAGGTCTGGCCGACTAACCGACTAGCCGATTGTTCGGCCAGTAAAAACCGACTAGTCGGCCGACTGTTCGGCTTTGCTAAAACCGGTTTATAAATGCAACAGACAGTGTGTTTTTTTTTCTATTTCTCTGACTACCTTAAAAATTTGTTTTATTTTAATAAAAGGAATAACCAAAGTTCCTTTATTTTCCAAAAAAATATGTTAAATTTGTTTGGATAATTTTAACATTTAATTTTTTTTAATAACTCAGTACAAAAATAAAGAATAACACAATTTAGGGCCAGTTTATACAATATTTCAACTGAGATTAAGTTGATCGCGCATTTAACAAGGCCATTAGCGACGTCTGATTGGCGTAGAGTCCATTATATGGTACTTTAACGCGGGGTTAAACATTAAATCGCAATTAAATATTTAATTGAGGTACTGTAAACCGAGTTTAGTTGTTTTATATAGTATTTTAATTTTAATAAAAAAAAAGCCGACCGATCGGCTGTTTAGCCGACCAGTCGCCGACTGCCAGCCGACGATGAAAAACGGCCGAATAGTCGGCTTATCCGACCGGTCGGCCACTAGTCGGTACATCCCTAATAAATAACAATTAAACCTTGAAATAAGTTTACTATTTCAATTGTTGAAATATTAAGGGCCGGTTTATAGAAATAGAAAGCGAATTAAATATTTAACCCTTGATTAATTTAACAGACGAATAAAATGTAGAATTTGAGCCCGTGATTGGGTAAAACATGCACGTTGCATAGCAACGTACTTCAATTACACGTTAATCGCGAAATCACTTTAAATTCGCTTCCTATAAATTCGACCTAAGCTTATTTCAAGATTTAATTGTTATTTAAATTATTGCAACAAACAACTTCATTCGTTAATGGAAGAATGTAATATCGTACTAACACTGAAAAGAGAGGTTACTAAACTAAAAAGTTTATTTTTTTTTTCAACAATTATTAGTAAAGAACTATTTTGTTTTCGCTCTCTATTATTTTAAGAAAAATGTTTATCCATATAGAATAAAAATGCAGCTTAACTTGAAAGTATTACCGTCTACATGCAACAAAGCCAAAAAATTGGCGATTCGTTTATGTGACCCTATTCCAATAGTTTCCTAATTTGACAGAGTAAGTAGGTTTTTGTCAAAACAGTTAAGCCGTAATCTGAGAAACATATTCATGACCGTATTGGTTTTTCGTTGCAGAGTTTAAAAAATTCATTTTACAAGGTTCCTAAACATAACATTTTGTAATCCACTGTAGTTTTTGGAAACATATCAGATTAAATGAAGAATTAGAATTCTATAAAAATATTTATTGAAATCCTGTTGTTTGTCAAGGTGCGTTTAACATTTTCCTACAGATATTTGACTAAAAGTGTCAAAAACATCTGTTCATCTCAAGTCAGATAAGGTTGAAAAGGAAGATTCTCGTTTTGTTGTAAAAACCGACAAGGCCATCTTGTTTAAACAAGTTAATAAGCATTTTAGAATTTTTATGTAAATTAATGATTTTGGACATTCCGATGCAGAATTTTAAAGGCTCATTGTACCATGTCCCCAAACAGAACATCTTGTGATCCATTGCCGTTTTTGGAGACACTCAGGAATCGAAGATATGAATTGTTAGAAATCTCTTCAATTTTTGGCTGTTAAACAAGAGTATTTGTTAAAATCTTGTTGTTTGACAAGGTGTGTTTAAAATTTTCACACAGATGTTTGACAATAAGTGTTAAAAGTATCTATTTACGTCATGTCAAGTAAGTTTGAAAAGAAAAATTATTCTTTTTTTTTAAACCGACAAGGCCAAATTTTGTAAACAACTTAATAAGCATTTTAGCGTTTTTATTTAAATGAATGGTGTTGAACATTCTGATGCAGAATTTAAAAGGTTCATTGTACAATGTCCCCAAACTGAACATTTCGTGATCTATTGTCGTTTTTGGAGACATATGTACCAGATTAAATGAAGGATTAGAAATCTCTTCAATTTTTGGCTCTTTAACTGAATATTTGTCGAAATGCTGTTGTTTGTCACGTGTTTTTAAAATTTTCCCACAGATATTTGACAATAAGTGTCAACAATATGTATTCACGTCAAGTCAGTTAAAGTTGAAGAAAGATTCTCAATTTTCGTAAAAACCAGTAAGGCGAAATTTTTTTAACGAGTTCACGAGAATTTCGGCGTTCTTATTTAAATTAATAATATTTTACATTCCGTTGCAAAATTTAAAACGCTCAGTTTCCATGTTCGCAAACAGAACGTCTTGTGATCCATTTTCGTTTTTGAGACGCACAGGAAGATATGAATTATTAGAATTCTCTTTCATTTGTGGCTCTTGAACTGAGTATGTGTTAAAATCCGATTATTTGACAAGGCGTCTTTAAAATTTTCACACAGATATGTGACAATAAGTGTTAAAATCTGTTTACGTGAAGTCAGGTAAGGTTGAAAAAAAGATTTTCATATTCTCTTAAAACCGACAAGGCCAAATTTTGTAAGCAAGTTAATGAGCATTTCAACGTTTTTATTTAAATCAATGGTCTTGAACATTCTAATGCACAATTTAAAAGGTTCATTGTACTATGTCCCCAAACTGAACATTTCGTGATCTATTGTCACTTTTGGAGACATACCAGATTAAATGAAGGATTAGAAATCTCTTCAATTTTTGGCTCTTTAACTGAATATTTGTCGAAATGCTGTTGTTTGTCACGTGTGTTTAAAATTTTCCCACAGATATTTGACAATAAGTGTCAACAATATGTATTCACGTCAAGTCAGTTAAAGTTGAAGAAAGATTCTCAATTTTCGTAAAAACCAGTAAGGCGAAATTTTTTTAACGAGTTCACGAGAATTTCAGCGTTCTTATTTAAATTAATAATATTTTACATTCCGTTGCAAAATTTAAAACGCTCAGTTTCCATGTTCGCAAACAGAACGTCTTGTGATCCATTTTCGTTTTTGAGACGCACAGGAAGATATGAATTATTAGAATTCTCTTTCATTTTTGGCTCTTGAACTGAGCAAGGTATGTGTTAAAATCTGATTATTCGACAAGGTGTGTTTAAAATTTTCACACAGATATTTGACAATAAGTGTTAAAATCTGTTTACGTCAAGTCAGGTAAGTTTGAAAAAAAAGATTTTCATTTTCTCTTAAAACCCACAAGGCCAAATTTTGTAAGCAAGTTAATGAGCATTTAAGCGTTTTTATTTAAATTAATGGTCTTGAACATTCTGATGCACAATTTAAAAGGTTCATTGTACTATGTCCCCAAACTGAACATTTCGTGATCCATTGTCGTTTTTGGAGACATACCAGATTAAATAAGGGTATAGAAATCTCTCCAATTTTTGGCTCTTAAACTGAATATTTGTCGAAATGCTGTTGTTTGTTACGTGTGTTTAAAATTTTCCCACAGATATTTGACAATAAGTGTCAACAATATCTATTCACGTCAAGTCAGGTAAAGTTGAAGAAATATTCTCAATTTTCGTAAAAACCAGTAAGGCCAAATTTTTTTAACAAGTTCACGAGAATTTCAGCGTTCTTATTTAAATTAATGATTTTTTACATTCCGTTGCAAAATTTAAAACGCTCAGTTTCCATGTTCGCAAACAGAACGTCTTGTGATCCATTTTCGTTTTTGGAGACGCACAGGAAGATATGAATTATTGGAAATCTCTTTCATTTTTGGCTCTTAAACTGAGTATTTATTAAAATCCTACTGTTTGACAATATTGCGTGCTTAATTTTTTCCTATTTGACAACAAGTTTAAAAACATCTGTTGATGCGAAATAAGGTAAAGTAAAAAGATTTTTTTTTATTCCTTCCCAGATGTGGCGACTGACGATTGTTGTTTCCGGCCTGGTTTCCGTTACCACAATAATTGCGATGCGTTCAGATTAGTTGCAGCGCAAAAACAGTACGTGTTTTGATTGATGTATTCCACCGTAATTCATATAATAGGAGTGATATGTGTGATAGGTGACGTTAGTGTTGTGGAAACAATGAATATCACAGAGTAAGTAAACTGAGTTTACGATATTATTTTGCTTTCGTACAAATGTTTCCCGCAAAAACCGAACAAGGTTAAATGTTAACAAGAATTACTAGTTTCGCTGAAACAGTTTTCACAAAACGTTTCCATTATTACAACCCCTGATCGCGTTCCTGGCATTCAATGTTGTGGAAATGCCTCATGGTGTCACAAAAAATAATTCCTTTTCGCGCCCATGCTTTCCCGTATAGGAGGCCATTGTTATGTAATCAACATGGGCAATGGACTAATGGACATGCTTACTTTCTTCCCACATCTCAAAACATAGATAATCTCCGAAAGTACTGGGTCGGTTGTTATCAAATTTTGTTATTTATATTTTGTCTAATCATCCGCACCAGTAATGTGATGACGTCACTTCAAAATTGTACTTAGTAACTCAATTTTAAATTGTATAAAATAACATAGTCCTACACATGTAGTTTATGACTCCGTGTTGAGTTTTTATCCAAAACGTCCAGATTTTTGGACAAAAAATCAAAGGTATAAAAAATATTTTGTAATTTAATTTTGAATCTGCAGAACTGAATGCTTTGAAATCTTGCAGATGTTTTTAAGTTATGATAGGCATGATAAATTTTTACTAGATATATTTACTTATCCCCTCCAAAAAAATTAATGACATCACCTCAAAATTTTGCCGAATAAATCCTATCTAAAATGGACAATATATGATGAGTCTCCACTTATGATTTATTACTACATGAATATATTTTAGATTTGCTTATACAGGGTGTCTCAAGAAAATTAATGACTGAGTGAATTTAGTTTATGATTAAATCAAGAATTGCAAAACGGAATACTTTGAAATCTTGCAGACGTTTTGAAGTTATTGTAAGCATGGTAATTTTTTATCTGTTTATCAACCCCAAAAAATTGATGACGTCATATCAAAATTTTGCTGAATATATCCTGTCTAAAACGTGGAAAATATGATCAGTCTATACTTGTAATTTTATCACTGCATTCAAATTTTTTAGATTTGCTTATACAGAGCGAGTCAAAAAAATTAATGAACCAGTCAATTTATTTTATTGGATAAGTCAAGAATTGCAAAAGTGAGTACTCTCAAATGTTACAGACGTTTAAAAGTTATTGTAAGGATGGTAAATTGTGGATCAAAATATACCTGTTTATTCCCCCAAAAAATTGATGACGTCATCTCCAAATTTTGCCGAAAAAATTCTACCCAAAATGTACAAAATATAGTATGATGAGTTTTGACTTGTGATTTATCATTGCATTTATATTTTTAAGACTTGCTTTAGCAGGTGACTCAAAAAAATTAATGAATGAATGGGAAATGGAGTGTTTCCCCGAACATTTTTGGAATATAATACTGTTATTCTTAATATTCCACTGCACCAATCCAAGTTGCTATAGGTGTCCATATAGAAATGTTGATGACGTCATCACAAAATTGTGTAGAGAAAAAGCTCAACTCGAAAATGTGGGACATGTTTCATTGTGCAAGTTCTGTTGTAAGAACTTTCGACCAATTTTGTCACATATTATTGACTTTTCGAAATTTTGTCAACAAATCGCCTCCTTACAATTATGATTTCGTTACAGAATTTTCTTGTCATTCTTACTTGAAATGAAATAGCTATTAAATACCTAGGATGTAATAAATGTCATAACAGCCGCAAATGTCAGTTCGAAATCCAAGCGGTATCGACATACATACAGGATACTGTTATGGCTTTCCTACGAGCCAACGTTTATAAATGTAAACAGGCATTTAATAGACAGAAACCGATTAAATATTTTAAAATACCAGTGGCAACTCAATAATTAAATTAACTGCTTACTTTGATGGTGATAATTTCATTTATACATATATTGTTATTTTATAGGAAGGAGATAGGTCATGAAAGGATACTGTTTGGTAAGAAAAAAGAGTATATGGTACTTAGGTATACAGGTGTTCAAGATAGTAAAACAAAAAAAAATTGGATTTACTAAATTTCCGCAACTCAATGCAAAATTCTATGGAAAATTTACATGGGATACCTGGCTACCGCCAGTAGTATTAATTTCACATGGCTTATTTATAAACTATAAAAAACATTGCTATCCATTGTTTTTAGATACATTTGGATTATTGTATACAAATAACAGTCTATCTGTGGTTAAAAACCCCAAAGAACAAAATTGTCTGCAACTTACAGGTAAAGAAAAAAAATTAAACATTTCAGAAAATATAAACATTTTATTTTATGTTATCCTAGCAAATGAAAAAATCATAAAAAAATGTTTCAAACAATTAAAGACAGGATGCCACGTTGGTAGGTTTCACAAAATATTAATATTTTACTTATGTACTATTTGTACAATTATTGCAGAAATTCGAAATGAAGATATTTTACATTCAGGTGAGTGTTTACTTGTGCAATAAAATAAATAATTATTTATTAACACTACAGACAACCCAAATGATAAAACTTGGAAACAAGACTTGAATTTACCATCAACATCAATTTCTACTCATTGTCGGTATGCTATTTCAGGTAAGTATTGCAATCTAAATAAAAATTGCAATCATTTTCTTTTACATTTTAGACGAATCTGATGATGAATCCTCAGTGGCTGAAATGAGTTCTAGCGTGACAAGAGTCTTATTTCCCACCAAAAAAACTAATAAAAACCATTATCCACCATCAACATCAAATTCTACTTATAGTCGATATGTTATTTCAGATAAGTGTTGCTATCTAAATAAAAGTTGCAATCATATTCTGTTACATTTTAGACGAATCTGATGATGAATCTTCAGTGGCTAATATAAGTTCTAACGTGAGGAGGGTCTTATTTTCCACCAAAACAACTAATAAAAAACATTATTCCACGAAAAATAACATGTGCGTGTATTGTCAAAAATCTAACGCAAAATTATCCAGACATTTAGTTACGGTTCACAAAAACGAAAAAGAAGTGAAGGAATTATTAAAATTTCCAAAAGGTCAGAATACATGACGTTTGAATTAAAGTTACAATAATATTTTAATTATTTTAGGATCTCATGAAAAAAACAAAATCTACGATACTCTGAGAAAAAATGGCAATTACAAATATAACGTTGAAAACGAAAATGAAATTTTTCTAGTGAGGCACATAATAAAGAAGTTAATAGTGATAATTATAAACCTTGCGCTAATTGCAAAGGCTACTATTCCTTCAAGTCTCTACGACAGCACTATGCACGATGTGCCAGTGGAACAGTAGAAACTGGTAGACGTAATATTTTGATTAAGAGCCGGGCAATTGAACGAAAGGCCCACTGTCGGGCTAACACAGTTTTAAGAGACATTGTACTTCCTGTTATGAGAGAAGATGAGGTTTGCAAAGTGGTGAGATACGATGAGTTGGCCATTTTATTTGGCAATAGACTCACCGTTAAATTCAAGTCGCCACATCATTACGATATGATTCGAGCAAAATTAAGATTAATTGGGCGGTTTTTGCTTGCCCTTGAAAGTGAGGGGGTAGAAGTACAGGATTTTCAGGACGCTTTAAGACCACAACGCTTTGATGATGCAATAAAAGGGATAAACGCTGTGGCTGGACTTAGAAATGGGAAGTACAGTTCACCTGCTACGGCTTTTTCATTAGGCTTATTGTTGAAAGATGCAACGAAGTTGTTAATAACAGAATGTATTAAAAAGGAAGACAATCAGCGTAAAAAGAATGCTCAAGATTTCCTCAAATTGTTGGAGTCCGAATTAAATGCTAGCATAAATAAGACAGTAACCGAAAATTGGTCGGAACGGCAACGTCAGAAAAAAGTTATTTTACCTTCGAGAGAAGATATAAAAATTCTCATAACTTTTCTTCACAAAAAAAGGAAGAGGCTTGTGGAAAACCTAAAAGAAACGTTTTCTTACCATGACTGGTTGGAATTGTCTAAAAGCACGCTGGTGTCAATTTTAATATTCAACAGAAGGCGTCCAGGTGAACTAGAGAGATCAACAATTGATGATTATAATGGCTATGTAAAAATTGATTCATTGACGAATAAAGAAATCTATGATCCCCTAAGTGAAGAAGGAAAGAAATGTGCTAGAGAATATGTTAGGTATTTAATAGTCATGAACGAAGTATCTATAAGTGTCTCTATCAATTTATTTCAGGTTTAGAACTAGAGGAAAAAAGGGTCGAACTGTACCAGTCTTATTAGATAAATTTATGAATGTATGTGTAGATGTCATATTAAAAGGAAGAGAAGAAGCTGGTGTTTCGAAGACTAATCCATACATATTTGGTATACCGACCGATCACAAGACACCTAAATATTTAAGAGCTTATCGTTTACTAAAGACATATGCCGAGGATTCGAAAGCAAAGTGTCTCAGTACATTGAAATCGACTGAGTTGCGAAAGCATATAGCCACAACATCCGTCAAGTTAAATTTGGCCGAATTTGAAGTGGAAAATTTACAGGTAGCTAAAGGAAACACGTAATTTTGTATCAAAATTTTGCTTTAAAATTCTTGAGTTTTAATTGATTCCTTCTAAATTTTATATTTTAGCAATTTATGGGCCACGCAGATAAAATACACAAAGAATATTACAGACAACCACTAGTAGAAAGAGATATATTGAACATGTCTAAACTTTTAACATTTGCACAAGGTGATAGATCTGAATTTCATGATATTGCCGCAAATAACATAGATCAAAATGTAGAGCTACCAGTTGAAGAAAGTTCTCAAGAACATACTGCTCCTGATTCTCCTACCGCAAGTATGTTCCTTAATTTTGTTATGACATTTCTAAAATTGTCTAATATAATAAAATAATAATAATAATAATAATCGTTTTTTGTCCAACAGAACTACATTCCAATTAATGGACACTTATAAAATAAATTAGAATATAATAAAATAAAGTAATTATTATTCTACAACTAAAAAAAATATAAATATACAATAATAATAACAAGAATAGTGGTACATAAATAATTGAACAATTAAGCTATCAGTACAAATATTAGCCCAAAACAAATAAAATAAATTAATCACAATATAATGATAAATCAAAATCCAACTCGTGTGCTCCCAACCGCTCACGCAAGAGACCTTGTATTTCAAATACGGAGCAATTAAAAGTGTCGCAAGAACTATTGGCACTTTCAAACTTATTTAGGTAACATGAAAATACGTACACGGTTGCCTTTCTGACAATATTTGTTCGAGGCATAGGTAGGATAATCAATGCCGAAACCAGAGAATACTCTACACATAAAAAATGCAATTTTACAGAACAATTTTATTTATATTTTATAATAAGTATACAAAACAGATACTATGATAAAATATAAAAAAAACAAATTTTCTAGATTATACATATAGGTATATAATATAAATATTATATAAGTTCAAAATAAAATCAACATTAAAAAACTTGTCGCACCGGTTACATGTTTCTGAGTCTCCGTTCAAAATAAAAAAAGGTTAATATGACATTATTCTTGGTTAGTACAACATAATTTTTTGCAAGGGCCTACTCCGCCTATAGCTATTTTTGGCACTGAGGATAGTATAAAGTAACGCTATATTAAATTAATAGTTCTTTTATATAGTTTTAATTAAAACTTAAAAAAATAATTTGTTTTTAAAAGCAAAAGAAACTCCGCTAATTTTCTTGTATTGCTACATGTCGTTTTTATTAATAAAAACTTTACAAACAGTATTTGCTTTAAAAGATATAGTAAAACTAACTGTAAAAATTCAACAAAACTTGTAGCATTAAAAAAATAAATAAAACAACAAAATGCCATGATAAATACAATCCAGTTTGGTAAATAATCGTTACATAAGTTGTCGATAAGTTATTCGTTATACCAGTTACTGCAAATAAAACATTTTCAGACATTTCGAGGAAGGTTTACAAAAGGGCATGGTCAACACCAGAAAAAAAGTGTGTTCTGCAGTGTTTTCATGAGGATATTAGAAAAGGAGTAACACCATCTGCTAATAAATATAGTCGAGTGTTGGCTGAAAATTTGGTACTACACAACAGGAATATAACCTCACTTAAAGCTTATATTAATAATTTGATCAATCGGAGAGACAAAATTCCTGAACGAACACAAGGTAAGATACAAAAACTTTACATATATGTATCAGTAAACATTTTGTTTATACATAAAAGAATTAAATTTAAATAAGTTATTCATGACAGCCCGAAGAAACTATTGGACTACCCCTGAAAAAAAAGCAATCCGTTCTGAATTCAGCCACCATATCCAGAATCAACGTTATCCTAGCATGACGGAATGTAGAATTTCGATAGAGGAAAACCCAGATCTACAGCGCAGAACCCCAAAGAAAATATGGCATATATATATATATATGTTCATAAAGTGGGCTTTTCCGCACATTTTTCGAGTAAATTTCAGTCAGTTTGGCATATTTTGTGCTCTTTCGCACTGGTGCCAAACTACCACCGCACCCGGTCGGCAGTTCGGCACGTGATTTGGCAACATGGTATAGGATCGACAAACATGCAACAGAAAATCATTAATTGAAAGCAGAATTTCTTCTTTCCACAGGTAGATGGCAATATGAGAATATTTATCATAAGCAAAATCGGAAAATAGTGAATAATGCCAAAGTTCGGCGACCAATTCAAGCAGTAATTCAAATTTTTAACAAACAATTCTAGTACTGGGAACCAAAGGCATTATTAACTGTTTCAATTTTCGTATTTTGGTGACTGACAGCTATTTTCTTGTGTGCCAAACTGCCTGGTGCATGTGTACGGTACGCAATTAACAGGCAGTTTCGCATGATTTTTATTTTTTCCTAAAATATTTAATCATTTAAAAAAATATTTTTAACAACAAAAGACTTTATATTACGCGTAAGAATATTCGGAGCAAGGTAAGTGTAAGTATTATACGTACAGTATATATATTTTTTTTTATTAAAAAAAAAAAACATCACATTATAAATTGTGTTTGGACATGTTAAGTGGTTGCTGATGTTCCAACAGACCAACTCAGTCGGAAATTGACATCTAGAGATTTTTTATGGTGTAATGGTCCAATTTAAGCGAAAATTTAAAATTTCAGCAAAAATGATATACTTAGAAATTAAAAACGTCATTAATTGTCATAATTTTCTCATTTCGCTGACTGTGACATTTTGATAAATTTTAACGTGTGTGTCAAACTGTTGCTGCTTGCGTACAGTACGCATTATGCAGTACTTACTTAATTTTTTCGAAAACAAGCAAGTTCTGCAGTAAATAATGTATCTGAACGTAAAAATCGGTTTTTTAATGTTTCAATAGCCTAATACAAACCGCAATTTACATCTTAAACAAACAGGAATACTAGGGAAGTAAGGGTGCAATTGATTGTAATAATTTTCGTATTTTGATGACCGACCTTGACAGGTATCTTTGGTGCCAAACTGCCTGTTGCATGCATACGGTACGCATTTAACAGGCAGTTTCGCATGATTTTTATTTTTTCCTAAAATATTTCATCGTTAAAAAAAGGTATTTTTAACAACAAAAGACTTTATATTACGCGTAAGAATATTCTGAGCAAACTAAGTGTAAGTATTATGCAGTATATGTTTTTTTATTAAAAAAAAAAGAATATTTCTGCATTATGAATTGTGTCTGGACATGTTAAATGGATGCTCATATCCTAACAGACCTACTCAGTCGGAAATTGACATTTTTAGCAAACAGAAGTGGTTAGGGAAGTAAGAACAAACTTAAGTTTCACCACTTTCGCATTTTGCTTCAGTTGCCAGGGATTTACGTATTTATTGGACAAACTAATTAGAGATTTTTAATGGTGTAATGGTCCAATTCAAGCGAAAATTTTAAATTTCAGCAAAAATGATATACTTGGAAATTAAAAACGTCATTAATTGTCATAATTTTCGCATTTTGCTGACTATGATATTTTGATAGATTTTAACGTGTGTGTCAAAAATGGTTAAACTGTTGCTGCTTGCGTACAGTACGCATTATACAGTACTTACTTAATTTTTTCGAAAACAAGCAACTTCTGCAGTACATAATGTATCTGAACGTAATAATCGGTTTATGAATGTTTCAAAATCCTAATACAAACTGCAATTTACATCTTAAACAAACAGGAGATACTAGGGAAGTAAGGGTGCAATTAATTGTAATAATTTTCGTATTTTGATGACCTTGACAGGTATCTTTGGTGCCAAACTGCCTGTTGCATGCATACGGTACGCATTTAACAGGCAGTTTCGCATGATTTTTATTTTTTTCCTAAAATATTTCATCTCTAAAAAAAGGGATTTTAACAACAAAAGATTTTATATTACGCGTAAGAATATTCTGAGCAAGCTAAGTGTAAGTATTATGCAGTATATGTTTTGTTATTTAAAAAAAAGTATATTTCTACATTATGAATTGTGTCTGGACATGTTAAGTGGGTGCTGATGTCCTAACAGACCTACTCAGTCGGAAATTCACATCATTAGCAAACAGAAGTGGTTAAGGAAGTAAAAACAAAATTAAGTTTCACTACTTTCGCATTTAGCTTAAGTTGCAATGGATTTACGTATTTATTGGACAAACTATTTAGAGGTTTTTAATGGTGTAATGGTCCAATTCAAGCGAAAACTTAAAATTTCAGCAAAAGTGATATACCTAGAATTTAAAAACGTCATTAATTGTCAAAATTTTCTCATTTTGCAGACTATGACATTTTTTAAATTTTAGCGTGTGTGCCAAACTGTTGCTGCTTGCGTACAGTACGCATAATGCAGTACTTACTTAATTTTTTCGAAAACAAGCAACTTCTGCAGTAAATAATGTATCTGAACGTAATAATCGTTTATTAATGTTTCAAAAGCCTAATACAAACTGCAATTTACATCTTAAACAAACAGGAGATACTAGGGAAGTAAGGGTGTAATTAATTGTAATAATTTTCGTATTTTGATGACCTTGACAGGTATCTTTGGTGCCAAACTGCCTGTTGCATGCATACGGTACGCATTTAACAGGCAGTTTCGCATGATTTTTATTTTTTCCTAAAATATTTCATCTCTAAAAAAAGGGATTTTAACAACAAAAGACTTTATATTACGCGTAAGAATATTCTGAGCAAGCTAAATGTAAGTATTATGCAGTATATGTTTTGTTATTTAAAAAAAAGTATATTTCTACATTATGAATTGTGTCTGGACATGTTAAGTGGGTGCTGATGTCCTAACAGACCTACTCAGTCGGAAATTCACATCATTAGCAAACAGAAGTGGTTAAGGAAGTAAAAACAAAATTAAGTTTCACTACTTTCGCATTTAGCTTAAGTTGCAATGGATTTACGTATTTATTGGACAAACTATTTAGAGGTTTTTAATGGTGTAATGGTCCAATTCAAGCGAAAACTTAAAATTTCAGCAAAAGTGATATACCTAGAATTTAAAAACGTCATTAATTGTCAAAATTTTCTCATTTTGCTGACTATGACATTTTTTAAATTTTAGCGTGTGTGCCAAACTGTTGCTGCTTGCGTACAGTACGCATAATGCAGTACTTACTTAATTTTTTCGAAAACAAGCAACTTCTGCAGTAAATAATGTATCTGAACGTAATAATCGGTTTATTAATGTTTCAAAAGCGTAATACAAACTGCAATTTACATCTTAAACAAACAGGAGATACTAGGGAAGTAAGGGTGTAATTAATTGTAATAATTTTCGTATTTTGATGACCTTGACAGGTATCTTTGGTGCCAAACTGCGTGTTGCATGCATACGGTACGCATTTAACAGGCAGTTTCGCATGATTTTTATTTTTTCCTAAAATATTTGATCTCTAAAAAAAGGGATTTTAACAACAAAAGACTTTATATTACGCGTAAGAATATTCTGAGCAAGCTAAATGTAAGTATTATGCAGTATATGTTTTGTTATTTAAAAAAAAGTATATTTCTACATTATGAATTGTGTCTGGACATGTTAAGTGGGTGCTGATGTCCTAACAGACCTACTCAGTCGGAAATTCACATCATTAGCAAACAGAAGTGGTTAAGGAAGTACAAACAAAATTAAGTTTCGCTACTTTCGCATTTAGCTTAAGTTGCAATGGATTTACGTATTTATTGGACAAACTATTTAGAGGTTTTTAATGGTGTAATGGTCCAATTCAAGCGAAAACTTAAAATTTCAGCAAAAGTGATATACTTAGAAATTAAAAACGTCATTAATTGTCAAAATTTTCTCATTTTGCTGACTATGACATTTTATAAATTTTAGCGTGTGTGTCAAACTGTTGCTGCTTGCGTACCGTACGCATAATGCAGGACTTACTTAATTTTTTCGAAAACAAGCAACTTCTGCAGTAAATAATGTATCTGAACGTAATAATCGGTTTATTAATGTTTCAAAAGCCTAATACAAACTGCAATTTACATCTTAAACAAACAGGAGATACTAGGGAAGCAAGGGTGTAATTAATTGTAATAATTTTCGTATTTTGATGACCTTGACAGGTATCTTTGGTGCCAAACTGCCTGTTGCATGCATACGGTACGCATTTAACAGGCAGTTTCGCATGATTTTTATTTTTTCCTAAAATATTTCATCTCTAAAAAAAGGGATTTTAACAACAAAAGACTTTATATTACGCGTAAGAATATTCTGAGCAAGCTAAATGTAAGTATTATGCAGTATATGTTTTGTTATTTAAAAAAAAGTATATTTCTACATTATGAATTGTGTCTGGACATGTTAAGTGGGTGCTGATGTCCTAACAGACCTACTCAGTCGGAAATTCACATCATTAGCAAACAGAAGTGGTTAAGGAAGTAAAAACAAAATTAAGTTTCGCTACTTTCGCATTTAGCTTAAGTTGCCATGGATTTACGTATTTATTGGACAAACTAATTAGAGGTTTTTAATGGTGGAATGGTCCAATTCAAGCGAAAACTTAAAATTTCAGCAAAAGTGATATACTTAGAAATTAAAAACGTCATTAATTGTCAAAATTTTCTCATTTTGCTGACTATGACATTTTATAAATTTTAGCGTGTGTGTCAAACTGTTGCTGCTTGCGTACCGTACGCATAATGCAGTATTTACTTAATTTTTTCGAAAACAAGCAACTTCTGCAGTAAATAATGTATCTGAACGTAATAATCGGTTTATTAATGTTTCAAAAGCCTAATACAAACTGCAATTTACATCTTAAACAAACAGGAGATACTAGGGAAGTAAGGGTGTAATTAATTGTAATAATTTTCGTATTTTGATGACCTTGACAGGTATCTTTGGTGCCAAACTGCCTGTTGCATGCATACGGTACGCATTTAACAGGCAGTTTCGCATGATTTTTATTTTTTCCTAAAATATTTCATCTCTAAAAAAAGGGATTTTAACAACAAAAGACTTTATATTACGCGTAAGAATATTCTGAGCAAGCTAAATGTAAGTATTATGCAGTATATGTTTTGTTATTTAAAAAAAAGTATATTTCTACATTATGAATTGTGTCTGGACATGTTAAGTGGGTGCTGATGTCCTAACAGACCTACTCAGTCGGAAATTC